GGGCTGATGCGAGTGAGAAGCGAATCAGTGGAGGAAATTGAAAGTCGGGGGATATGTGGAGCAGTGATGTGTGAGGGAGTTGACGAGGGGTTGAGTGGAGATGTTATCAAGGCTAGCCAGGATTGACATCTCTACTGAGTACTGGGAAAACCAAGAGAGGTGAGCTGGGGAAACCAATAAGCTAGATTCTGAGGATTGAATAAACTGCGTCGAGCGAGAAGACAGAGTCAATCTAACTGACAAAGAAGAAGAAGGGGGGGGGAAGAAGGGGGAAGAAGAGGAGGAAGAAGAAGAGGGGAAAGAAGAGCACAATACACAAATAGAGAAAAGCTTACGACGACGTTTCTGTCCGACTTGGACCATTTTCGGACCGAAACGTTGTGGTAATCTTTTCCCTACTTTTCCTATGTGCAGGCTATTTGTGTATTGTTCCAGTCACGGTATTGTGCCTTTTTATTCTTTAATAAATATACAAGAATATCTCCTACTCTGCTTCCCTCCATCCCTTCCTCTATACATCTTCCTCGTCGCTATTCCTTATCCTGTTCCTCCCTTTCTACCTCCCGTCCCTCCCTCTCCCTATCCCTCCCCTCCCTCCATATACCGTCCATCACCCTCCCTCTATACCTCACTTCTGCAATACCAGTCTAAGCTTCAACACAAATAAACACACACCTCAAGCCATACTGTGGCCAGGATGACTTTTTCAGGTTAGAATATTAGTGGAGACAAGACCTAGCGAGACACGGGGTGAGAGACACACAGAAATACAAACACAGGGAAGACGACACATTGAAAGACACAGGGAAGGAGATACAATAAGAGACAAACAGGGAAGGAAATACAATGAGAGACAAACAGGGAAGGAAATACAATGAGAGACGAACAGGGAAGGAGACATACTGAGAGACAGAGTGTAAGATACCAACAGTATATAGTTCTCTATTGTTACAAAAAAATTGTGTTTCTACTCTATATAAGATTCTCTTCTGCCAATCTTCTACTTCTGTCTACCTCAACCCTCAATCATCAATCTTTCTCTCTCTCCTTCCTCTTTCCATTCCTATCTCCCTTTCCCCCCTCACATTTGCTCTCCTACCTTTCCCGTTATCAATCTACTTCTTCCTCTATGTCTAATTCCATATATCTATTCCCATTTCCTTCTTGCGTTTCCTTTCTTCCCTCCTTCACATGTCAATCATTATTCATATCCTTCTCATCTCCTATTTTCTCTCTCCTTTCCTCTTACTTCCTCTCTTTCTTCCCTTCCCCTTTACTTTCACTGTGTCTCGTCTTCTCCCTCTCTTTCTTTTACCTTTCTCTTCCCTTTCACTCTCACAGACACCACTCTGCACCTACATGCGTAGTAAGCCATACAAAGAATCATATGCACGATATAAACCAGGAATATACACACACAGTGTATATACCCAGTGTATATGAGCCTGTTGCTAGCTGTATAGCTACTTTCTTGGAGATGGAGCTCAGGAGATGAAAGTGGGATTCTGGGACAGATGAGATGCTGGGATGTGTTGCTGAGATGAGAGAGAGAGAGAGAGAGAGAGAGAGAGAGAGAGAGAGAGAGAGAATCATAAATTCCATATACCTATAAATACCAGAGTAGGGATAATTTCAGGAGATTGCTAACAGTACAGGGAAATTATGGGGGGAAATTTCCCTGGGGCAGAAAAATCACACGGGAAGAAAAGGTCAAGGAATTTTGTTTTAAGAAAAATGGTCCCGGGACCATCGCCAACGAGGCCCGGTCCCAGACCAAACCATCTAAATTGGAAAGGAAATATTACATTAATAAAAGCTATTACGAAATATACTGGAAGATAAATATGTTTACAGTGAATGTAAGTAGAGGATTGCAAGGTTTACCTGTCAACAACGTGTTTAAGAGAAAATACCAGCAAGCCTGCCAGAGTGCATAACATTTAAAAGGCTTCCATTTCACGCTCATGTGATAATCTCATATTATAATTAAAATTAAGGGATGTAGGGTAAGCCAGTGGAAGGCCTCGGACTGTGGGTCATATGACAGATCCGCGTTAGGAAACACTTGTCCTGTTTCCTGACGAACCTAACCTGACCTGTCTCGTGTTATGTTAAAAAAGTTGTGTGCATTTTATTCAGGAACGATTATTTGGTACGACCTTTATGGTGATTCTTTCTTTGTGGGCGAGTTTTAGTTTGTGAGTGTGTTGTTGTTTTGTTGTTTGGTAGTGTGCGGTTCCTGATCTGGAACAATTCTTAGTCCTGTACTGGAACGAGTCTTAGTCCTGTACTGGAACAAGTCTTAGTCCTGTACTGGAACAATCTTAGTCCCTGTTTAACTGGAACAAGTCTTAGTCCTGTACGGGAACAAGTCTTAGTCCTGTACTGGAACAAGTCTTAGTCCTGTACTGGAACGAGTCTTAGTCCTGTACTGGAACAAGTCTTAGTCCTGTACTGGAACAAGTCTTAGTCCTGTACTGGAACAAGTCTTAGTCCTTACTGGAACAGTCTTAGTCCTGTACTGGAACAAGTCTTAGTCCTGTACTGGAACAAGTCTTAGTCCTGTACTGGAACAAGTCTTAGTCCTGTACTGGAACAAGTCTTAGTCCTGTACTGGAACAAGTCTTAGTCCTGTACTGGAACAAGTCTTAGTCCTGTACTGGAACGAGTCTTAGTCCTGTACTGGAACAAGTCTTAGTCCTGTACTGGAACAAGTCTTAGTCCTGTACTGGAACAAGTCTTAGTCCTGTGCTGGAACAAGTCTTAGTCCTGTACTGGAACAAGTCTTAGTCCTGTACTGGAACAAGTCTTATTTCCTGTACTGGAACAATTCTTAGTCCTGTACTGAACAAGTCTTAGTCCTGTACTGGAACAAGTCTTAGTCCTGTACTGGAACAAGTCTTAGTCCTGTACTGGAACGAGTCTTAGTCCTGTAATGGAACAAGTCTTAGTCCTGTACTGAAAACAAGTCTTAGTCCTGTACTGGAACAAGCCTTAGTTCTGTACTGAAACAATTCTTAGTCCTGTACTAGAACAAGTCTTAGTCCTGTACTAGAACAAGTCTTAGTCCTGTACTAGAACAAGTCTTAGTCCTGTACTGGGAACAAGTCTTAGTCCTGAAACTAGAACAAGTCTTAGTCCTGTACTGAACAATCTAGTCCTGTACTAGAACAAGTCTTAGTCCTGTACTAGAACAAGTCTTAGTCCTGTACTAGAACAAGTCTTAGTCCTGTACGGGAAAACAAGTCTTAGTCCTGTACTGGAACAAATCTTAGTCCTGTACTGGAACAAGTCTAGTCCTGTACTGAACAAGTCTTAGTCCTGTACTGGAACGAAGTCTTAGTCCTGTACTGGAACAAGTCTTAGTCCTGTACTGGAACGAGTCTTAGTCCTGTACTGGAACAAGTCTTAGTCCTGTACTGGAACAAGTCTTAGTCCTGTACTGGAACAAGTCTTAGTCCTGTACTGGAACAAGCCTTAGTTCTGTACTGAAACAAGTCTTAGTCCTGTACTGGAACAAGTCTTAGTCCTGTACTGGAACGAGTCTTAGTCCTGTACTGGAACAAGTCTTAGTCCTGTACTGGAACGAGTCTTAGTCCTGTACTGGAACAAGTCTTAGTCCTGTACTAGGAACAAGTCTTAGTCCTGTACTGGAACAAGTCTTAGTCCTGTACTGGAACAAGCCTTAGTTCTGTACTGAAACAATTCTTAGTCCTGTACTAGAACAAGTCTTAGTCCTGTACTAGAACAAGTCTTAGTCCTGTACTAGAACAAGTCTTAGTCCTGTACTAGAACAAGTCTTAGTCCTGTACTAGAACAAGTCTTAGTCCTGTACTAGAACAAGTCTTAGTCCTGTACTAGAACAAGTCTTAGTCCTGTACTAGAACAAGTCTTAGTCCTGTACTGGAACAAGTCTTAGTCCTGTACTAGAACAAGTCTTAGCCCCTGTACTAGAACAAGTCTTAGTCCTGTACTAGAACAAGTCTTAGTCCTGTACTGGAACAAGTCTTAGTCCTGTACTAGAACAAGTCTTAGTTCTGTACTAGAACAAGTCTTAGTTCTGTACTGGGAACAAGTCTTAGTCCTGTACTAGAACAAGTCTTAGTCCTGTACTGGAACAAGTCTTAGTCCTGTACTAGAACAAGTCTTAGTCCTGTACTGGAACAAGTCTTAGTCCTGTACTAGAACAAGTCTTAGTCCTGTACTAGAACAAGTCTTAGTCCTGTACTAGAACAAGTCTTAGTTCTGTACTAGAACAAGTCTTAGTTCTGTACTAGAACAAGTCTTAGTCCTGTACTAGAACAAGCCTTAGTCCTGTACTGGAACAAGTCTTAGTCCTGTACTGGCACAAGTCTTAGTCCTGACTAGAATAAATCATAGTCGTCGACTCACCTGATCTTCGCTTCTAATAGCGACAAATTCTCTTTTTATAATTTGCAAGATTCACAACTTGTGATTATAATATATGACCCCAGCTTGCAGAGATCCACGACCCTTTATTATATACTTTTTGCGTACTTACTGCAAAGATTAATAGTCTCCGAGGTGAAGTGATTTACCGCCTCTGATCTTCAGTATTTCTAACCTCGGCTTTCAAGGATTTCTTGCCTAATATTTAGTTTGGGGGTTGTGTTTTTTAGCATGTAAATTTTTCAATATTAAATGAGTTTTGAAACGGAGACCATTTTATTTTGGTCTTATGGTGAATTTTTTTTTTTGGTAACCAAAGCCAAATACATATGTAACTGAATCAAACCTAATTTTGAATTAAACTTATTTTAGATTAGGTAAAGTTAGGGTAGGCTCCTTTTTTAAAGGTTACTAAAAAGCTTTTTCTTATAGGCTCGAAGGATATGTTTCTATTGCACCAGTGCAACACACACACACACATATATATATATATATAAAATATATATATATATATAATATATATATATATATATATAATATATATATATATATATATATATATTATATATACTTTTTTTTAACAAGTCGGCAGTCTCCCATCGAGGCAGGGTGACCCAAAAAGAAAGAAAATCCCCAAAAAGAAAATACGTTCATCATTCAACACTTTCACCTCACACATACTCACTGTTTTTGCAGAGGTGCTCAGAATACAACAGTTTAGAAGTATATACCTATAAAGATACACAACATATCCCTCCAAACTGCCAATATCCCAAACCCCTCCTTTAGAGTGCAGGCAACATTGTACTTCCCATTTCCAGGACTCAAGTCCGGCTATATAAAAATAACTCCATCTTGCCTCTTATTACAAGGATTTCTAGTCTCCAATTCAAAAAATTTTAGTTTTTGATTTCCTGAAAATTTCTACCTACTGATTCCGAGGAATTTTGGACTTTGTAATGGAATTTTGTCGTCTTTTAGGGATTTCTGGCCTATAATTGGGGATTTCTGGATCTTGATAAGGAATTTCTAGCCTTTAGTTAGGGATTTCAGGTCCCTAGCTAGAGATTTATGACCACTTATACTTTAATCTCTATAACTGGGATTAAAATAAATTGTCAGTATATACAGGGAATTATACACATCTGGTGTGGAGGTAGTTACTTGGTGTATAACTCGATGTATATAATGTTACACATTCTGCTGTATATAATCATCTTATAATGGACTCTGGCTTAAAGGCGAACTCCGGTATATTATACACGAGTGTGAGAGGAAATAGATTTATTACTGGCTAAGAGAAAGAATAATTTAAGGAGAGAGAGAGAGAGAGAGAGAGAGAGAGAGAGAGAGAGAGAGAGAGAGAGATTAGATATTGTCTTGAGCTGTACGTGTTACAGTTATTCTAGCGTGCGCCATAACAAGAAACTTGCCCAAGCTTATGCTGGAGTTCAGCTCTAAAGAGCAACCTTGCAGTCAGCTCGACGCAGGAAACACTAGATATCAGATGAGCGAAGATGCGGAGGAGATATTCACGACGTACACGATACCCAGGGGTAAGGACAGCATAAACAAAACACGCCAAACAAAAGAAAAAGATCAAGACGTGTGTCGATCCAAAATTAGGGACACATGTTGAAACACAGCTTGAGGGCAGTGGAAATTATGAGGCGGGCCCAGGAGCTGGATCTCGACTCTCATAAACACATATCTCAAGAAACTGACTGGATTTTGCAACCGCAAATAGGTGAGTAGACCATAACTATATTTACTACTACTACCACCACCACCACTGGTACCGCTATTATTAACCACCACTGGTACTGCTGTTATTAACTACCACTGCTGTAACTAGATTGCTGCTACTACTATTTCTGCTAATAACAATACTACTACTACTAACAGTAATCGCTTAGTACAGACTGTCAGCACTCACAAACGGATTCATTAGACTTGTCATTCCACAAAGTCCAACTCTAACATGAGAATAGTTGTGAGGGTAACTAAGGGAAAAAGTGTAAGTGAATATAGAAGACATACCAGAAGCAAGGGCGAACTTGACATGGCTTAACTCAAAGGGATCCGGTTCCAAAGGTGAAAGAGAGGAATTGGACTGACATGACTTGATTTGGCTCCGAGGGTTTCCGATTCTGAGGATAAAAAAGATTTGACTTGCTTTAAAAATGTATGAAAGAGGAACGGCGACCTGACTCCAGTCAATTCGTTAAATTATTTTTGATGTAGTAATCATGTTTATCATTTTGTCTGTATCTTGTTTATTAGCTTTAATATATATTTTTTATTTATTATTTTTAGCGTAATTGATGGAAGGAAAAGATGGATGATTAAGGAATTATTCAGATACGGAGAGAAACTCAAAAGTGATAATGAGCACTTTGAAATTGTGGGTGATGACTCAAAACTGCGGGTGACTATTAAATAATATGGATGGAGACTTAAAAATGTGGATGAGAACTTAGTACTGGGTGATGACTCAGAAATGTGGATGAAACCTCAAAAATACGAATGACTCCTGAAAACAATGGATGACGACTCAAAAACGTAGATGACCATTCAAAAATACGGAAGTAACCAATGGAACACGTAGTGTATTGAGATGCATTGAGCTACAGGGACGCCCAGCCATCCTCTCGTTCCTAAATGGGAAAAGAAATACAAAAAATTATTACTATGTCAGAGGTAAAAACGAAATTCAATTCTCAGCGTATGTAAACTGAGACATACAATCGTTGTATACACACTCGGTGTATATACACTCGTATACACACTCGGTGTATATACACTCGTATACACACTCGGTGTATATACACTCGTATACACACTCGGTGTATATACACTCGTATACACACTCGTTGTATATACACTCGTATACACACTCGGTGTATATACACCGAGACTATGTAATTATAATATATAAACTTTTCCTATATATCTCTCTTGAAACAATGTCAAAACTTAACCCTGGACAAATAATTTGTATTTAGATTAAATGTTAAAATAATGCGAATCCTACTCCGTGAACGAAATAATTTATAATGGCGTCTATCAAAGTGTAGTCTGGGTATTATTTGTGATTTATTAGGATATTTACATATAATTAGAGTAATTTTGTTGACATTAACCATTCAGTCACTAACATGATGATTTTTCATTGAATTAAATAATTTTGCTAAATATCATAGTTATCCCTGACACAATATTAAATATAATTAAATAATTACATTATCATTAATTTAATATCTTATCACAATGCACATGCTAATTCGATAAAGTTTATTAATTGAAAGACTACGAAATCGAGTTTTAAAAATAAAATTAACTTAGGCGTTCCATATCTTTAACAAATATTATATCTCCTATTCCTCTGATCTAATAGTCGTAAGTTTGTAAGAGCGAAGGTACACTGTAGTAGGCTTACTGGCCCATGCTAGGCAGGTCTAATTCACACACGTTCATGTACCTGTCCAACTTAAAGCTACCCAAAGTTCTTGCCTCAACGGCGCTACCTGGGAGTTTATTACACTCTACAACTCTATTGCTAAACAAATACTTCCCAATATCCTTTCTAAATCTAAATTTCTCCAACTTGAATTCATTGCTGCGAGTCATGTCTAGGTTAGTTATTTTAAACACGTTATGTATAACCTCTTTATTTATTCCTTATTCCTGTTTTTTATTTGTATACTTCAATCATATCTCCTCTAATTCTACGCCTTTCCAGCGAGTGTAAATTCAATGGCTTCAGCCTTTTGGTTAACGCTCTCGCTTCACACGGTGAGGGCCTGGGTTCGATTCCCAGCCAGAGTAGAAACATTGGACGTGTTTCTTTCCACCTGTTGTCTATGTTCCCCATCAGTAAAATGGGTACCTGGGTGTTAGTCGACTGGTGTGGGTCGCATCCTGGGACACTGACCTAAGAAGGCCTGGTCACAGACCGGGCCGCGGGGGCGTTGACCCCCGGAACTCTCTCCAGATAAACTCCAGATATCCAGATCAATCAATCTCTCAACTTTCAATAATCATTAAAACGACACAGCTGTCTCTTAAACCTTTGCTTCACTTCATATTCCCCAGATTTTATATGACCCTTATAGATTTAACGCTTCCCAATAATAATGTAACCATGGCCTAGTGCTGCCGTCTGGTGGACTTAGTTTTAACCTAAACCCGACGCCACCAGAGCTTGTATCTGTTCTCACTGCCTCACCAGACAAGGTACCAGCTGGACGTTATCTCAACTCTCTCATACGGCCTGGCTCACCTACCATCCAACCACACACACAATCACTGCTGTGTACGTTTATACAAATAAATCCTACGGCTCGCCACCGAAGAGGTATCATTAACCCACCAAATATATACCAATATATCTGGTGGCAGCAGATGGATAAGAACCCAACTCCATTACAGTAATAATCATATCAATGTTTATTTCACTTGCTTGGTTTTTAATATGTAAACACTACAATATTAATAGAAGTCGAGGAATGGAGACGGCTACATTTTAGGCCTACGCAGAAAATGCCTTTCAGGTAACCAGTCAATGCAACCTAACCTCATCTAACACAGAATTTAGCTCGAAATCTAGGTTAGGAAAGTTGAATTAGATTGAACTCTTTTATTTTTGGTTACGAAAATATTTTTGGTCTGATAAGACGAACAATACAAGTGTCTCCATTACACAACCAACGTAATGTTCGAGAATTTAATTAACTTGTATTTAAGGTGAAATATTAGGAACTAAAGTAAATAATGACCAGTAACAATAATAATACTAAAACTAATAATAAATAGTAGTAATAATATTTTTAAAGACAATTATCCATGTATATGTAATTTATTTTGGTTACCCAGTCAATTTCCATTTTACTTTCCCTCTTAACTCTGACTCACCAGGGGGAGCACCGCCCCCTAGCACGGAGGCGTGGTAAGGGGAACGGGTGGTGAGGACTCCTTCAGCTTCCTGTTGGTATATACCGGGGATTCTGGAGATGCATAGCACCTTGGCGTCACCTTCCTGAAGGAGGCGAGGCTGAAGGGAGAACCTCAGACGCAGGGAGGAGGTGGTTAGGCCATCGTGGCCCATCTGGTTGACCTGTGGTTCCAACCATCCCGTCGACACCTGGGAAGGAATACCATCATTAGCAACACTAATACACACACACACACACAGCATATATATATATATATATATATATATATATATATATATATATATATATTATATATATTATATAAAATTATATATATATATATTCAAACAGCTCCGGGGAGAACCTTGAGTTTTCCCTGAAGTACGTTTATTGTCTTCTCTGAGGATGAGGGTCCCCAGTCCAGTTCTAGAGGTGGTACTTCCCTATACATGTATTTATTTAAAATTTAAATATATATATATATATATATATATATATATATATATATATATATATATATATATATATATGGTGTTGCTAATTATATAATTATAATAATCATGGGGAGCGCTAAACCCGTAGGATTATACAGCGCACATGGAGGGGGATGGAAGGTATTCAGGCTCAATTCAGGGAACTGGAGCACAGATCCAATTCCCTAGATCAAGAGCCCCTCACCAGCGTCAAGGAACCTCCCTTGAGGGGTTGGTGTTTGCTAAGGTCCTTCTATTTTTTATAGTATTATGTAAATTGTACAATACTGACGAGTTGCGAAATGGAAAAATAATATATGGGAACTATGGTTGATTACAAGTAAATGATTATCGAATAACTAACCGACCTAACCAACACTACACACACACACACACATACACACACACACACACACCACCACACACACACAACACCATACAACAAGGTCTGAGTTCCTGAAGCCTCTCTCACACATTACAAGGATTTGGAAATTTTTTCGTTCGCACTGGATCAGTTGTATTGCCATAGTTTCTAATTTGATGTTAAGTGTACAGGATCCATAAATAAACTTTAAGTAGAAGTATGAAATATATCAGGGGTATTACCAGGGGATACTAAGGAAATGTGAAAGGGAGGGCCAGCTAATCATCAATGAAACCTACAAACTAGTTTTATGAATCTGTCACATAACTTTCATAAACATTGTCAACATCCACAAAGCAGCATAACTTTAACTTATCAAACGACACGGAGTCATAAGCCAGGAGTCCTACGTCACTTACCAAACACACTACAATACAACACACACACACACACACACACACACTCAGCTGAGCCAATAAACTTTTCTGAGTTCCTCTGCCTCTCTCAACATTTACAAAGACTTGTGCAGCTCTGTCCAAACTTTTATTCCGTTTTGCTGTCACTGGAATCTGTTGTATTGCCATTTTTCTTCCAATTATTTGTGATGTCTTTTTCAAATGTAATGAAGACGAAGAAAACTAAGATGAAGACAAGATGAAGTAAAATGATTATTCAGGGGTTATTAACCAGGAGGATTATTAAGGAAAATGTGAAAGGGAGAGGCATCATAAATTCATCTCAATGAGAATAAGCTATCCAAAATATTTAATTTTATGAATCTGTCATGCTTGTGATAACTTTCTATAAATTTTGTCATGACTTCCTATAAATGCTATGATAACTTTAATTTTTAAAGGGGTGGAGTGGTAAGCCAGAGGAAGTCCTCGGTCACTTGACCAAAAGCTCCAGTTGTGGGTCATCATATGTCTAAGACCCGCGTCAGGAAACACTTCATGTTTCCTGACGAACCTTAACCTAATGTGGCATGCAAAGAGTACGTAACCTTCATTTGGCGCATGTACACACCCTCATTGTAAGGCTATCTCCCCCAACCAGCAAACCAGTACTAAGGATCGGACGATGGGGCCCCGTCGTTCGATCAGTACCCAGGTTCAGCCAATGAGAAGATGGTTTTGGCAATCGCAGAGGTGTTGTGGGCACCACCCGCCTGTCTGCCCTTGTCATTTCCATTCTAGAGCTGGTTGAAGCACGGTCTGCTCTCTAGTGGCTTCTATTCTGCCTTGCTTACCGTGGCGTGCACTAATACCTATTGTTGTACATAGTGTACATACTTCTGTTCTTACTTGGTGAAAGGATATTATAAGTCAAAAGTTTTTCTGTGTTTATTTTGCTCCCTTTACACCCAGGACACCAGGCCTTTGGATTCCTGGGTTGTAATACATAACCTATATAAATGCTATGATAACTTCATGTAAAAACTAACTTCCAATGAATACTATAACGTCATACAAATGCTATGATAAATAATTTTACACGAGAAGAAATCTTTCGCGGACTGCAAAAGAAGACTAGACACACACACACACCGGAACTGTGACTCGACCCCTCCAACCACTAGGTGAGTACAACTAGGCGAGTGTACACATACAAAAAACTCACCGGTTGGGTGTTTATTAAAAATGAGAGTTGAGCAGGAGGTTTGGATCTTCGCGAGACACAGGTGAGATCGACCCAATCAACGGGCAGGTACTGGCTTTTCACTCCCTTGATCACCGGTCTCCCGTCAGGTAAGTCTGCAGCCAGAGAAAATGAGACATAATATATTGAAAGTAAACACTGAACACATCCAAATGCAAAAATAATAAACGAATGTTAACTTGAACACACATCTGCAAGCACCCACAACACAAGAGCACATGTTGTTGTGTTATGATTTAATAACGCAGATGTGGAGAGATCACCTACTTCAGCTTCATTACATGAACACATTTAGATACACGAACACACAGGAGCTGTGACTCGACCTCTGCAAGCACATGTAGGTGAGTACACACATACCCAAACATACGAACACACATCCACACACTCCACACATGCTAATCCGGCAAATTTAAGGACAGCTTTTAGGAACCTAAACAAGGAGTCATTCACAATAATATATAAACTTGTTAGGCTCATCTTACGAGTATGCAGCACCAGTATGAAACCCATCTAATAAAGTATGTCAGGAAGTTGGAAACTAGTTCTAGAGGCACGAAGTAAAAGAAGAGGCTAAAGGACTCACACTTAATTACAGAGGAGAGGACAACCAGGGGGTGACATGTTTAGGGCTTACAAAATACTGAAAGAGATTGACAGAGTTGAAAGGGCAAATCTAAGAGGCAGGCCTCAGACACACGAGGGAAAAGCTGGAAGTCAAAATGAGACGAGTAAATAGATGTATTTAGCCTCAGAGTGGTCAGAAAGTGGAACGATCTAGACAGTGAAGTGGAAGAGACATGGTCTATGCAGAGTTTTAAGATGTATAGGGCTCAGGTAGCCAGGAGAGAGTGAACCCAATGCAGTCAGTATCTGACCAGTCGGGCTGTGGTTCCTACGTCAGCAGTAACAGCCTGGTTAATCAGACCCTGATTCACCGTGAGGCCTGGTCATGAACAGGACCGCGGGGGGGTTGACCCACTAGACACCCTCCAGGTATAGCAGACAGCGGGAACCGAGACTCAACCCCAGCAACCGCAAACAGGTGAGTACACGAACACACACTCACACATAAATGACCTGCTTTCTCACTTCGACCTCTCTGATGATTTCTTGGTGGACGAGAGTACATAAAGGCTCTTTTGACTGTTTTCAATGTTATACTGCATAAGTGATGCAACCTGCAATAATCCTGCACACACACACATATATATATATGCATGTATATATATATATATATATATATATATATATATATATATATATATACAGCCAGTAGTCCCTTGTGCTATCCTATCCTCCGAGCCAATACACACATCCATTATGTATGAAGTTGGGTTAGGAGGTCACTGGAAGGTGGGGGGGGACGGGAGCTGACAATATCCTTGAATAAGACAGTAGGATTCCCTGGCTGGGCTGTAGTAGGAGGTCTCCAGTGCTGCGATATCCTTAGTGGGAGGGTGTTGTTGGTGGGGGTGGTGGGAACGCATTAAGGGACAGGCAGATGGGAGTGATGGGAGGGAGATGAGAATATAGGGAACGAAATAGGGGAGAGGGGAAATTTGATGTGGTGGGAGGTGTGTTGGGGATGGATGGGTGTGTGAGGGGAGGGGTTGTGAGAGTAGGAGTGAGTGTGGTTAGGTGGTTGAATATTTCCAAGTGTCGGAGTAGTTGCAGACATTTTTTGACATACTTCAGTTTTTACCGAAATACTATGTACGTTATCACACTTTTAACCGAAAATGATAATTTAAAAAAAAAAAAACATTGGATTATTTCCTAAATGCCATTAAAATTAAAACATTTTACTGTATTTATATACCTTTGTCTCGTCACGCGATATATTTTTTAATCACACCAGAGCAGTGTCGCCTTCTTAGTGTAACCAAGATAGCCTGAGCTTGCTACCATCTGCAGCTCATAAGACTGCCATCCCCACGAGCCCTTTTAGGACGGGGCAGATGGCAGACCAGAGGCCTAGCTTCTCCCTACGAGCCCCGTGAGGGCGGGGAATGTGGCTAGGCCTGGGGACACTTGGTCCCAAAGATGAGGAGGTACTTGTACCTCCTCCCATGGGAGACTTAAGTCTCGAGACACTCCCCAGATAGGGAGCCAAGGCCGGGTCACCACTACTTGGAAAAGACCCGGGCCGGGAGAATACCGGCGAAAAAAAAAAAAAAAAAAAAAGTTAACCAAGACACCTGGGTGGTCGAGTGCAGGACTCCCATACACGAAGCTCAGTTCGATCCCCGTTCGTTTTGGACCTTATTTATCGGTTTTGTAAATTCTCCAATATTATGTGAGTTATGCAGACGATACAATTATATTTTACAGCAGTTATAAACACACTTGATAAACTTAGACTGAGAGTTGAAATCTAGGCTATATTAGGAGTTATTTTTCTGATGATAACTAAAAAAAAAAAAAAAAACTTTTCTATACTCAAAAAATAACGTCTCAACTGCATAACCTATTTAATATTGACGAATTTACATCATAAATAAAACATTTCTATTAACTCATTAGTGACATATATAAGAAATATAGAAACTTTACTAGGTACTAGAACAAAAATCTATTAAGAAGAATAAGTCACAATACCGTGACTGGAACAATACACAAATAATCTGCATATAGAAAGAAGCTTATGACGACGTTTCGGTCCGGCTTGAAGCGAAACTTACCAGCAGAACACATCAACTACAACAATTATTAAAAGTACTAATTAAACTACTACAACAACTTAAACCACTAATGGAACCATAACAATTGGTACAACAACTTGGATTGCTGCCTGACCCCCCAAAAGCACCTTGTGACTCTAATACCTTGGTTGACCTCTAACTCACCATGTGACCTCTACCATATGACCTCTAACCTCACCATATGACCTCTAACCTACCATGTGACCTCTAACTCACTCTTAACCTCACATGTGACCTCTAACCTCACCATATGACCTCTAACCTCACCATGTGACCTCTAACCTTACCATATGACCTCTAACCTCACCATGTGACCTCTAACCTCACCATATGACCTCTAACCTCACCATGTGACCTCTAACCTTACTATCTGACCTCTAAACTCAAGTGACCTCTGTTGCTACAATGGAAGGTGAAACCACACAGGGAGCGACCTCTTAATTACCGACCAGTTTTTATAGGTAACAACTTCAATAATACAACCATTACTCTCTCTCTCTCTCTCTTTCTCTCCTTCTCCTCTCTCTCTCCCCCCTCTCTCTTCTCTCCCCCCTCTCTCTCTCTCCCCCCTCTCTCTCTCTCCCTCTCTCTCTCTCCCTCTCTCTCCTCTCTCTCTCTCTCTCTCTCTCTCTCTCTCTCTCTCTCTCCCTCTCTCTCTCTCTCTTCTCTCTCTCTCCTCTCTCTCACTCTCTGTCATTAATACCTTTCTCTTTCACTCAGACGTTAATTTATCTCTGTTCCCCTTTTCATTTATTGTGAATTATTTCGGCGTTATTGTTACTGAAGTGGGAATTTTATTCTCTGATTTGATATGTTAAAAGGTAAATAAACACAGTATTGAAATTCTTTGCGTTCCCAGGAAGGACGTAGAATTATGGAGGGATGTGAAGCGTGCGAAAGGAAAAACCGGAATAAAGGGGATATAAATATCGTGATGAAAATAACCAAAACACGACTCGCAGCAAAGGATTCAAGTTGAACAAATTTAAACCGAGAAGGAATACTGGAAACACGGATTTGGCAACTGAGTTTCAGATTAGTGGAACAAACTTCCAGGAAATGTCAGTAAAGTGAGAATTTTGGGTGGTTTTAAATACAAGATAGACAGGTTAATGAGTAGGTGTGAGATGGAACTGCCTAGCATGGGCCAGTAGACCTGCTGCAGCCCTCCACTAATGTTCTTCATGGTCAAGGATGAATTAAAATACGTCTTAAGAGTCAGTCCCACTTCTTAGATTGTGTATGTGTTCTCATGATGAAGATTGAGACACTTATGCAGCATATGGGAATCTTTATTCAGGAAACGTTTCGCCACACAGTGGCTTCATCAGTCCAATACAAAGAGGAAGGCGTAAGGAGAGGAGGAGAATGAGGTAATCAGTCCCTCAACCTGGAGTCGATGTGTTCAGTCCATCAATCTACATTCTACAAGATTGATGGACTGAACACATCGACTCCAGGTTGAGGGACTGATTACCTCATTCTCCTCCTCTCCTTACGCCTTCCTCTTTGTATTGGACTGATGAAGCCACTGTGTGGCGAAACGTTTCCTGAATAAAGATTCCCATATGCTGCATAAGTGTCTCAATCTTCAACTTGTCGGTTTTTCAAAACCATTCATCACATGTGTTCTCATGAACAATTCCAGTAAAGAACGTGGACGTCCAGAGAGAGAACGAGAGAGAACAGTCCTAATGGGTAAAGGACTTACACAGTCACGAAGACTCCCCCCCCCATGCCCACATAAACCAGACCCCGGTATCTATATCGCCTCCACATATGTAAATGGGCACCAATAGCAGTCAGTAGTACTACTACTGCTCCTGCTGCTTCCTCCAACCCATAATTTCCTGGTCGATTTGCATGTAATTCTGCAGGAACCAGGTCGAAGAATAGCCTCAATCTTCCTGTATTTACCTAAAAAATCAGTTATTCTAATATGAGTCGTTGTTAGCCTTCTTTAAGTAGTTATGACAGTAGTTTGTAGTTGAGACACACACACAAATATGTTATTGTGAAAATAACCTCACACGCAAGAATATATACACCCAAAGGCGTGTAACTCTCAGTGTATATAGGCTGGGAGTTTACATTAATCCCTACTTTAGGGATTAAAGTGTCTTTGACTAGTGGTTAATAAGTAACATGCAGCCTTATGACTAGTAGACGGTAGCTAAGCTCCATTAACCACGCAAGCAACACAACGTTATATATACCAAGAGATGTATTTCTGTCGCTGTAAATATACTGAGATTGATTTAATCCCTATAAAAAATGGAGTTGTGAAGAGTGCAAGCATAAAACTCAAAAAAACTAAAGTTAAAAGCACAACAGTAACTAGAGTAAGGATATGATACAATAGGCTACCAGCTCACAGCCTCATAACGAAT